CACGCAAGCAAGAGACGATAAACGGATCTTGTGTTTATTTTCAAGAAAGTTGTAATTTTTATTTTCGTTATTTGAATTCATTTGTAACGTTTAAAGTTTTAATGAAATCAATGATGAAGGCAACTTTCGACGAAAACAAACTGGCGACCACAGTGGGAGCCAACGGCCTCGCTGCCGAGGCCGTCGTGACGCAACCGGCATTCAAGATCCGGGTGAACGAAGAGATCGAATACGAGTTCGATCAACAAAAGTTTGAAGAATACCTCTCTTCCTCCTCCTCCAGATCCGCCTATCCAAACAGGCGCAGGAAGACTTCATCTTCCAGAAATGCTCGCGGGAACTCCGACTCGAAGATCCGAGATCCCCTCATCGTTGCTGCATCTACTCCCCGCGACGTTCCTATGACGTCCAACGTGGTTGAAGCTGCAGATCCAGATCTGCCCTCCGCCGTAAAGACAAGTGTTGAAGGTGCTCCGGCTCTGTCGAAGAGGGCGCGCCAAAGACGGCGCCAACGCCTTGCGCGACAACTGGCCAAGGCCGCAGAATCGATGGACGGGATCCGCTACAATGAAGATCTAAAGTCCAGACAGCGCCAAGAGCAACAACGGCGCACAACCAACTCCTCCTCCAAGGCAGAAACGAACAAATGGGTTCGTGTCACGAGGACTCGCTCAACCCTCGAAGAGCGAATCAAGAAACGCCGCGCATTGCTTGCGCATGCCCGAGTCCTTCTGCAGAAAGCGGAAGAGATGATGCCCGAGCCCTTCTGCAGAAAGCAGAGGAGATGCAGAAAGAAGAGACGGTCAAGAACCCGTCAAAACTCAAGCAGGTGTGGGTGCTAAAGACAAAGCCAACGCCTAAGACAAGAGCGGAAGATGTTGCTGTCCAACCTTCATCAGATCCAGATCCCGTCTCCCTTGCCCCCGCACCTACGGCGGAGTCAGGTAAGAACGTGGGTCCTTCTAGATCCAGGGTTCCGTTGAAAGGTCGTCTCGGTCCCTTACCGGAGAACCGAGGTAAAGCACCTGTCAAGGAGCGATTGGGACCGTTGAAAGGTCCCCAAATGACGAACCAGACTGGGGGTCGTGTTAATCCCTCCAAAAAAGATAACAAAGGGAAAGTCCCTGTTACCGACCGCATTGGGTTGCGTGTCGAAGTTCAAGAGCCCGTTAAGTTTTCACGCTCGCAAAAGCGTAGACTTGAACGAGCGACTTCTAAAAACGCTAATAAAGCGTCATATCCCCAGAGGAAAACACATTCGTCTGATGATGATGGTGTTATACCTGGGAGGTCATGCCAACACTCTATGGGTTGCTCCAGTTATCAAACTGATGAGTTGTACTATAGAGCTGGGGGTGCGGGTAAGTCTCGAAAGAGATACGCTCAAGACACGGAGTCTCACTGTCCGTGTGCCAACATCATCAAGGCGGTGTTGTCAGAATGCTGCTGTTCTAAAACCCCAAAGAGAGTCTCGGTGTTCGAGAGAATTTCCAAGCCAAGGCGTTTTCGTGGGAAGAAGTTCGTTCGACAAGAGGATGAATACCTAGAAGTGTCTGCTAATATGACCGGCAGAGGGAAATCGACACGACAATTTGGCCCAGAGCTATAGCGTCCGATGACACGGCTTCTAGTATGGGACAACCCTACGAGTCATTCATGATCAGCGCCGAGCAAGTAACCAAGATGCTTGAAGATGCCCTGAATAAGCAGAAGGAAACTTTCAAGTTCGAGATGGAGATGGCCATGCAACGGATGAGAGAGAGGCATGACCAGCAAATTGCGGCACTGACAATTCACCAAGGAGAACCCAGTCGACGCAATAATCAGAATCAATATGAGAATGAACGGGAAGAGAATAATATCAACATAAATATCCCTCCTGTCAACAACGACAATGGAAGTGGTCCCATGGATGATAATGCAAAAGAGGACCACGTTACCTCTCCCCGAAACCACTCGAAGACAGATACGAGTGAAGACAAGAAAATGAAGGACTTGGAGAACAAGATCAACGCGTTGATGAATGCTCAAGAAGTGAAGAGGTCCGGCATACCATGTCCATACCCAAGGGAGTGGGAATCAATTTCATATCCGGCAAAGTTCAATTTAATCAACTTCACGCCGTTTGATGGAAAGGGTTCCCCTACCCAACACTTGATATATTTTAAGTCTCATTTAGGAATCATTTCTGGGAATGAACCTCTTATGGTGCGGTCATTCGTCGGCACTCTTTGCGGAGCAGCCTTCGACTGGTATCGCCGTCTCAAGCCCGGGAGTATCAGCAGTTGGGACGACATGGAAGATATGTTTCTGACAAACTTCTTCGATGACGACACCGAAATCTCAATCGGTACACTATTTGATGAGAAGCAGAAGAATGGTAAGACGGTCGAAAATTTCGTGAAGAGATTCCGAAACAAAGCAATGAACTGCAGGGATCCGGTCAGTGAAGATTTTATCCTCGAGACTTCTCACAATAATCTTTCGTTGGACATCCTCGAAGCTATGAGAATGACACCACCGAAGACCTGGAAGGACTTAAAGGTGCGAGGAGAACGAGCCGAGCGATTCCTTAAAAGGAAGAAGGCGGAAAGGGGTCAAATAGCAAATAATGCCCCGCAACAGAACTTTGTCCCTAAGGGAAAAGCACATGCGAATGCTGTGGACGTGAATCAAACATTCGAGGTGCAAGCGCAAGCACAACAGCAGCAACAAAAGACGCATCAACAATCAAGGTCACAACAGCAATCCCGAAGACAGCAAAAGACTTCGAAACCGAAACTCCAAAAAGAGTATTCCTTCAAGGACGAAGACGTTCCAGCCATCTTCGAATCACTCCTTAAAAATAACAAGATCAAGCTGCCACCGATCACGAATCAGGATGAAGCTGACAATACTACGGATCCGAAGTACTGCGCATACCACAGGAGGATCCTTCATCCCACCAAGGCCTGCTTTACTTTAAAGAATAGTATCCAGACCTTGGTTGAAGCCGGCGTCATAACGCTAGAGTAAACCAGTTGAGAACGGCGAAACTCCAAAGAGTATACGAGTATAAACTGTTTCTCAATCCTCCAACAGGTGCAAGAGGTTAAACTGTTCCCTGCATACTCCAATAGGTATATGAGTCTAAACTGTTTCCCACTTTTAACGGGAAGTTCCTAGGGAATATTATGCTAATATTCTTAAGGATAACCCGGTCAGGTAACTGAGAATAATGTCTGAACCAGTTCCGCAGAGGAAGCTGGGGGTGGACGATTCATGTAACGGGAAGTTCCTAGAGAATCATATATTTTTAAGGATAACCTGAACATGCGATTGAGGATAACGTACTCCTCGTTACACCCAGTTTTGCAAGAAAGCTGGGGGTGGATAATTCGTGTAACGAGAAGTTCCCAAAAGAATGTTAATATTCTTAGGGATAACCCAATCATTGTAGAAGTGATGAATAAGAAATTCTTGCTCGAATTCAGAACATTGGAACGTTTCTTCTTATTATCAAAATTCTCTAACTCTTATGAGTTATTTTTGTGAGATGAGATCCAATCCTCTGATAGGTTAATCTTTCCTCACCAAACCATCTACTGATCAAACTAATTGACGGTGGATCCACCACTACCTCTTTGCTTTCAGGTCAAACCTATGAAAGTTAGGGCCAAAGCCAAATTCCTCTCTCGATTCTTTCCATGAACGAGAGGTCCACTTTCAATTCGAACAGTCAAACCTATAAAAGTTAGGATTGTTCCCGATCTCACTTAGTCAAGCCTACAAATAGTTAGGGCTAAGACCGAGTCATTCCTTTTCGATAAACGAAAATCCGCCTTTGTTCCTTTTTCCACCAAACCTATAAAAGTTAGGGTCGAAATTGGGCTTTCCCCTTAATAAATGAGGGATTCTTTTGATTCAAATGACCAATCCTATAAAAGTTAGGGCCGTTTGAACTTTTTCGATTCTCGGAGTGGAGATCCCACTCTTAGTTTCATCTTTTCGGATTCTGGGGGTGGAGATCCCACCTTGAGTTTCCTTTCCGATTGTATATAGAATATAAAATTCTTCCTCTTCAGTCCCGGGAGATAGAATATAAAATTCTTCCTCTCCCGTTTCCCAATCCGTCTTTATTCAGATAAAGGACACAATTTTCAATTTCCAATCCGGGCACTTTGTGCATGGGGAATTTTATCTCAACTCCTAAATAGAGATAAGTCTACGCCTAACACGCGTTGCCGGTTTAGTCTTTCACCGATTGAAAAAGACGCCAGAGTCTAAACCTGGAGAATTTTATCCCGAAGCCTAAGTATGGACGAGTCAACACCTAACACGTGTTGCCGGGTAGCCTATTCCCGTAACAAAGGTGAATCCTATGTATTCGGCATCATAGCACAAAGTCTCAGAGAATTCACTCTCTCAGCACAACGTTACATGTGGAGCGGATTTAGACAATCCGCATGCTAGCCCGATCCAAACGGTAATCGGTAAAGGCGCATCAAACCCGTTGAAGGCTGGGGGTTTGCCAAAAATCCCAAAGTCTATGTCTAATACACATAGCCGGTTTAGTCTTTCGCCGATTGAAAAAGACACCAGGAATCTTATGCTGAGAGGTATATCCACACTGAACTCGCTCAGCATCATAGGTAAGAGGCCAAGACATATGTCGCTCCACGACCTGTCCCTCCAAATGAGTGAAAGAATACTGACGAGAAATGGAGGGAATATACAGGAGAGCTCTTTCGTCGAGAGTCAACCAATGCTCCTTGATAAGAGTCAATGTAGCAGGATCCTCAATGTGATCTCCGAACAGAAAACTGGGCTTCTTTAAAGCCTGAGTGGAAGTGGAATCCGCAGTGAAGGAAGCATCCGTAATAAGCTGGCGTAAGCAATGACGCCCTCCATCCCGTATCAAACGACAGGATTCGTTGGAGCGATCTCTGTCAAACTGAGGGAGTGGACTAACGGCCTGCCTGATGGAAGCTGAAGAGAAGACCTCCCGGCTACAACCAGTATTAGCATGAGGAGGAAGGCTGCCCACGGGGAACTCGACTGCAACAAAACACAAGGATAGAGTCAGAAAGCTCATAAAAAAGGCGAGATAAAATCTGTCACGGGATAATTGGAGAGACGATTTTGAGTGTCCTACACTGGAAGAACGGTATGCATCATCACGTAAATAACGTGGTAACATACACCGACCTATAAGGTGTAGGACGACACAAAATCGCCCCAATATACCAGAAGACTTGAATTAGCCAAGCAAGGTAAGTCCGAAACCTCGACCCCCGCGAAGGAGGGTGTCGGCCCTTCCCGAATGACCCGCGAAGAGGCCAAACGAGGGTATGACAAAACCACCAAGTCCGAAACCTCGACCCCCGCGAAGGAGGGTGTCGGCCCTCCCCGAATGACCCGCGAAGGGGCCAAACGAGGGTATAACAGAACCACCAAGTCCGAAACCTCGACCCCCGCGAAGGAGGGTGTCGGTTCTTCCTTCATGACCCGCGAAGGGATCAATCGGGGATACAAAAATAAAAAAATTCCCACCCCCAAAAAAGGAAGCCGCTGGAGGGGAGGATGCTGCGGGAACTTCTTCCTCGCTAGGCTGCGAATGGGATCGACTCCTAGGAAGTCGAGATCGGCGTGGAGGCATCGGAAACCTGCAATGAAAAGCAGCAAGTCAGATACAATCTAAAGTATGAATACGCGAAATTTAAAAGGGAAATTAAGAACTTTAATTAAAACCCTGTGTATAAATAGGATTTTATAGTTGAAGTCTAATTAAACCTACAAATTTCGTGCATGCGGAACAATGATTGTCATCTTCGCAGTAAATTTTGATGAAATACCCAAAATACTCCTCGTGTTCAAGGCTAAATTCGGGTCAAGGACACGCTCGAGTTGGGTCATGGTCATCATACCTGATCACATAGCACCCCCAGTACCCCACAATTTTGGTTAATCTTACAAATAAACCCTTTTGTAAAATTTAGCCAATTTTGCTAAAAAAAGACCCTCCACAAATTTCGGTTTGGTTTCCACATGCTTTTATCAAAACTTTGGTCATAGGTTTGTGATCTAAACTTTTGGAATTTCAGCCCTAAAATTCCAGTCCTTTTGCAAATAAACCCCCTATATACTTTGTGGGTTGCTCTTTTGCAAATAAACCCCTCAAACCACATTGAACCAAATTTACACATACACCCCCCAAAATTTTAGCCATATATTTGCATAAAAAACCCTACAAATTTTAGCCCTCCAATTTGCACAAAAGCCCTCCAAAATTTCAGCCGAAAATTTGCACATAACCCCCTCAAATTGTAGCCCTCTTTTACATATAACCCCCCTCAAGTTTCGGCCTCAAAATTTGCACAAAAGCCCCCTCAAGTTTCGGCCATATATGTACGCATGAAATTAGCATCTTTTTACATATAACCCCCCTCAAGTTTCGGCCTCAAAATTTGCACAAAAGCCCCCTCAAGTTTCGGCCATACATGTGCATGGAATTAAGAAAGCATTGAAATCAAAAGTAAGGGAATACATATCCTAATTTTCGGCCAACTTTCAAGAATCAAAAATCAAGATTTGATTTTTCCCTAAATCAAAAAATTAGGGTTTTGAAATTTGGAGGATTCAAGAGAAATGAATCAATCTAAAGCATGAAGGAAAGAAGATCTTACCAAAGCTTGGAGAATCCTTGAAGAGGAGACTTTGTTGTTAATGAAGATCCTCCAAACCCAACTTTCCTTGCTTGAAGCTTTGGAGAGGATGAGAGCTTGGAAAGAGGGAAAGTTGAAGCTTTGAAGAGTTTAGAAGGCTTGAAGAAGAAGATGATGGAACTTTTGGTGAAAAAGGAGTCTTGGAGAAGGAGAGCTCCTGGGACCGAAAAAAAAAAGAAATGTAGGGGGGGGGGCGGAATTCTTGCTGGGACCGAAAGAAAGAAAAGAAGGAAGAGAAGAGGGGGAATCGGTTTTTTTTATAATGGGGGTTTTCTTGGTTGAACCGAACCCATATGAACCGGACCCAAATCTGCCCTGAACCGAACCCAAACCTAATGTGTTGATTCATACGCGTGTGGGCCGCGAAATGTGGGCTCGCTCGTGTGGAGAGGTCCGGGGATAATTCATATGCATTTCGAACCTCTTTTCGGATATTTTTACGACGTATTCAACACTCGTATTTATACTCCAATGAGAATACGAGTCTAAACTATTTCTCACAATTGACGGGAAGTTCCTGGAAAATATTATGTATAATATTCTTAAGGATAACCCGTCAACCTCCGACGGGTACACGAGGCTAAACTAATTCCCGAAACTCCCAGGAGTACACGAGTATAAACTAGTTCTCCTCAGGTTGATTCAAAACCCTAGGGTCAACGCCGGTCAACGCGTAACCCTAGGTCAACGCCAGTCAACGCGTTGCAACAAAAAGTCAACATTCGACTAGGTCAACGCCAGTCAACGCGTTGCAACCGAAGTCAACGTTCGACGATTCAAAACCCTAGGGTCAACGCCGGTCAACGCGTAACCCTAGGTCAACGCCCTTCAACGCGTTGCGATATTCGAAACCCCAGGGTCAACGCCGGTCAACGCGTAACCCTAGGTCAACGCCCTTCAACGCGTTGCGGCATTCGAAACCCCAGGGTCAACGCCGATCAATGCGTAACCCTAGGTCAACGCCCTTCAACGCGTTGCGACATTTAAAACCCTAGAGTCAACGCCGGTCAACGCGTAACCCTAGGTCAACACCCTTCAACGCATTGCGACATTCGAAACCCCAGGGTCAACGCCGGTCAACGCGTAACCCTAGGTCAACGCCCTTCAACGTGTTGCGACATTCGAAACCCTAGAGTCAACGCCGGTTAACGCGTAACCCTAGGTCAACGCCCTTCAACGCGTTGCGACATTCAAAACCCTAGGGTCAACGCCGGTCAACGCGTAACCCTAGGTCAACGCCAGTCAACGCGTTGCGGCAAAAAGTCAACATACAGTGATCTGAAATCCTAGGTCAACACAATGTGACGGAGGTAGTTCAAAGTCAACTCAATGACACGAGCCAAACTCAATTCATCAGCTGTAGACTTGAGACTCCGACGACGGCCAAGCGATAAACGCAGCGCCGGAAGAACTTCGGTTATTCGTCAAAGCATCGAATAGACTGAAAATCGAAGGAGCGAAGCTAACTACAGGTCCTTTACACCGATTGAAGGCTAGATCAATCACATCCAAAGTATTCCAGCCTCTTCTATAAAAGAAACGAGTCCGGAACGCTTTGGAGGGGGTATCTGTAGGCATCGAAAATTGCCTATAGGTCTCCACGAATAGCTCAGTGTTAAGGAACGACAATGAACGTCACTATCTGGTTCACAGGAGTTCGATTGACGTCGGTGAACGCTTGAAGTGAATCGACGAACTACGTGAGCTGACAGAATTTCGGAATAACGAAGGCACAGGCTAATCGAGAGCCCCGCGATGTTTACAAAAAGAACAACGCCTTTCGTATCTCGTTCGTTCTACAGATAATCCAACCATCGGGGCTGATAGAACTCTTCGTCAGAATTCCAACACAATTCGAATCACTAAAAATCCGAGTTCGGACGAAGAATTTACAGCGGAGTGTCTTGGATTTTTGGAGACACCCCAGGGGTGTCCTAGATTTTTGGGGACGCCCCAGGGGTGTCCTAGATTTTTTGGGGACGCCCCAGGAGTGTCGCCTATAAATAGAAGCCTTAGGCCTCACTTTTGGAGGGATCTGGATTTTTGGAGAATTGGCGAAGCCCTACTGGAGTGAAGAGTGATCGAGCACTTCAACACAAGAGAGTTCTTCATCAGATCTACATCACCCGCATCCGTTCCTTAGCATTACCCCTCGTCGGTGATCCTAAGAAGAGCAAATATCTCGCTTTAACCGAGATAGGCGCTCCAAGTTTCTAGATCTCCTCGCGGATCGACGAAGCTCTGCCCGATTTTTCTGGATCAGATCTGATTGCCAGGTAGTCTACGGATATCGACGTCCCCGTCACAGGCTAAAGACCCACGCAAGCAAGAGACGATAAACGGATCTTGTGTTTATTTTCAAGAAAGTTGTAATTTTTATTTTCATTATTTGAATTCATTTGTAACGTTTGAAGTTTTAATGAAATCAATGATGAAGGCAACTTTTGACGAAAACAATGTCCTGCCGCGCCTCCATGTGTTGCTTGATGATGTGTATATTGTTCTTCTATGTTGTCTTGAATGGTGTTTGGATGTCTGTAAGCATTTTTGACACCTATAGATACCCCCTCTAAAGTATCTCAGACTCATCATTTTTTAGAGAGGGGTCTGGGACACTTTGGACATGATAAGCTTTCCCTGCACTCTCTCCAGTGCTTCGTTGAGGAAATTGCGTAGAACGGTTTGTGAATGGCTTCAATCCTTGACTTCTTCATCTTTTAGCCTATTCAGTGCTTTGTAGAATAGCTAAAATTCCTCCGGTGCTGCGTTTATCGCGTGGCCGTTGTCGAAGTTTCGAATTAGAACTGCTGTCGAAGAATTTGAGAAATAGTTTATACTCATATACTATATTGGAGTGTTCGGGAAATAGTTTAACCTCATATACCCGTTGGGAGGTTCAGGGAGATGCAGTTTATACTCATATACTCATCGGAGTGTTCGGGAAATAGTTTAACCTCATATACCCGTTGGGAGGTAATCAGGTTATTCTTAAGAATATTCTAAGTGATATTCTCCGGAAACTTCCTGTTGACATTAGGGAAATAGTTTAGACTCGTATACCTATTGGAGTATTCTGGTCTCTTTTTTGTTGGTAGAGATGAACCCAATGATGGAGAGGAAGAATTTTATATTCTATCTCCTGGTCTCTTATTTGTTGGTAGAGATGAACCCGAAATCGGAGAGGAAGAATTTTATATTCTATCTCCTGGTCTCTTGTTTGTTGGTAGAGATGAACCCAAAATCGGAGAATAAGAATTTTATATTCTATCTCCTAATGCAAACGAAACTCAAAGTGGGATCTCCACTTAAAGAATCTGGACGGGTTTGAATAATCCTAACTGTCATAAGGTTTGATTACTCAATTCAAAAGTGGACCATTCGTTCGCAAAAAATGAATCGAAAGGAGATTTTGGTTGTGGTCCTAACTGTAGTAAGGTTTGACCAAGTGGGGAATTTGAGACGATCCTAACTGTTTAAAGGTTTGATCGTTCAATTTGTGGATCTCTCGTTCATGGAAGGAATATAGAGGGGATTTTGGTTTTGGTCCTAACTGTAGTAAGGTTTGACCAAGTGGGAGTTTTGAGACGATCCTAACTGTTTAAAGGTTTGATCGTTCAATTTGTGGACCTCTCGTTCATGGAACGAATCGAGAGGGGATTTTGGTTTTGGTCCTAACTGTTTAAAGGTTTGACCATGTGGGAAATTGAGACGATCCTAACTGTAGGAAGGTTTGATCGCTCAATTTGTGGACCTCTCGTTCATGGAACGAATCAAGAGGAGATTTTGGCTTTGGTCCTAACTGTTTAAAGGTTTGACTAAGATGGGAATTTGAGACGATCCTAACTGTTTAAAGGTTTGATCGTTCAGTTTGTGGACCTCTCGTTCATGGAAGAAATCGAGAGGAGATTTTGGCTTTGGTCCTAACTGTTTAAAGGTTTGACCAAATATGAGTTTTGTGAGGGAAAATTGATCTAAAGAAGTGATCAAATCTCATCTCAGCAAAATCATCGTGGGGATGTAGTGTTTATCACTTTGTTTGTAATGATCGGGTTATCCCTAAGAAAATTACATATAGCATTCTTCCGAGAACTTCCCGTTACATGAACCATCCACCCCCAGCTTTTCTCATGAAACTGAGTTTATCATTATATTCAGCTGCATGATTGGGTTATCCTTAAGAGTACTATGCATGGCGCTCTCCAGGAACTTTCCGTGAAAGAAAGGAAATAGTTTAGACTCATATACCTGTTGGAGTATCGAGGAGCAGTTTATACTCGTATACTCTTTGGAGTGAGGGGAAACAGTTTATACTCGTGCACCCACTGGAGTTAGAACCGTCTTTATTTGGCTTGTTCCGCCGTTATGACACCGGAGTCAATTAAAGCTTGGATTTTGTTTTTAAGTCCAAAGAAAATCTCAATGGGATGAAGAACCTTTCTATGGTACGCACAGTAGTTTGGATCCGTAACCCCCTTAGCTCCCTCCTGATCTTTAATAGGCGGTAGCTCGATTTTATCATTGGCGAGGAGGTATTTCAATATGGCTGGAGCTTCATCATCTTCGAAAGAATACTCCTTTTGAAACCTCGGATCGGGAGTCGCGTTTCCAGCGATTGCAGATGTCGTCGGTCGGCTTCTCTCAGCTTTCTTTCTTTTAAGAAAGTGTTCAACTTGTTCACCGCGCACTTTTAACTCTTTCCAAGTTTTGGATGGTACGACCCCCAGAGCTTCCAGGACATCGATGGAGAGATTATTATGGCATGTTTGTAGGATAAATTCCTCTGTAATAGGATCACTGCAATTCATTGCTTTGTTACGGAAGCGCATGACAAAATTATCGACAGACTCTCCGTCTTTTTGCTTCTCATCCAGAAGGGTTCCGATTGACACTTCGGTGTCATCATCGAAGAAATTGCTGAGGAATAAACTTTCCATGTCATCCCAGCAATTGATGCTCCCTGGCTTAAGACGTCGGTACCAATCGAAGGCGGGCCCACGAAGGGT